GTGCGTGGAAATGGTTGCTGCATTCAGCCTCCCTTTGCTCCCCTGGAGCTGGATTTGTCCACGCTGAGCTTCTGTCCCTGCCTGCCGGGTATCTGCTGGCCCTCTGCACAGCCAGCCGAGGTGCTGGTGGCTGGGGTTCAACAGCAGGGGGGAAAATGGGGGGGCCTGTGCGCTGCCCCCAGGACAGCATAATAGAAGCGTCTCCGGACTGGGTGAGGGCTTGGGCTGGGGCGGGCTCGGAGCATTCCCGGGTCGCCTTTTACAGGGGTAAACTATGAAACTGAATTGGGGAGTAAACGGCACGTTTGTAAAACACGGCGCCAAGCACCACTGGCCCAAAACATGCACAGTGCAGGCCACAGCCCTGCACCCCAGACAAGTAATGCAAGCTCTCCCGATCGCTGCGGACCCACCGCTTTACCCTGTCAGCACCTATGCCACCCGTGCCCTGTGTGCAGCAGCCTCCCTCCAAACTCCCTCACCAGCTAGCCCCGGCCAGGCCCACGCACCACCCTGCTGACAGGGCACTTCTGGCTAACATAGACCTTCTCCTGCTTCTTCCTTCGGTCGCAGTGAAGAGGATGAAGCCTGAGCTCATGTGGCTGGGAAGCTGGGGAGCAGTGCAGAGCCAAGCCCTGCATTGGCTTCCCTATGCAGAGAATTGGACGGCTCAGAAATGAAGCGTTCCTCCTCCCTACAGGCTCTACCTGAAATAGCCAAGCCTGTCAGATCCCCGTCCCCGGCCATGATGGATTAGCCTCTCCAAGGCACAAGGCAATTTATTCATTAGTGACATTTACACCTTGTGGCTGCATTAGCCATTGCGGTTTGGTGACACGTGCTCGAGCTGTCAGTGCTGGGCTTGGAGGCAACATCGCTGCTCTGACAATGCAGCAAGGCTTGGCCTGGGCACCTCAGCTTGGAAATCCCCCCTGCCTGTCTCCTCGGCCAGAGCATGCACAGCCTGCTTTGAAAGCCCGCTTTGTTCCCAGGCTTCTTCATCAGATGCCCCGCTCCCTCTGTTTCCCTCCCACCCTCCCGGCCTCGCAGACCACTGCTCCAGCACAGCAGCCTCCTGCCCTGTCTTGTTTCGTGTCTCCCGCAAAAAACACCGCATCTGCAAAGCCTTTTACAGCTGTTCTCGTACTGCCCCTCCTCTCCACGCGTCTTGCTGAGCATTTACACGCTATTCTGCCCTCCTCAGCTAGCTCCTCCATCAGCTGCGCCTTGTTCAGCCCACAGCAAAGCTGCCCTCGGTCCCAGCAGAGAAGCACAGAGCCCATGTTCGGAGACTGCCCCAGTAGACATGCTGCTTTCACCGCGATGCCGTCCCCTGGTCCCGCACCACCACAAGAGCTGACCCGCCTCTCCTCCCCAGCGACAGCACTGGGGCAGTGCAGATCAGGACCACCAAAATGTCAAGGGCTTCTGTTTTCTAACCTCGGTCTGTCAAACTTACCCTGTCTACAAAGGCTCAGAGAAGTGCTGTGAAATTCTCTGGGAAAGCATAAAGTGATGCAAAAGTGAGGCCAGGATGTGCTGCAATGCTCTGCAGGCTGTGCTGTCTCTCCACCAAGCAAGCAGGAGGCACGCCAGGGCAGGGAGCATTGCTGGAAGGCCATGCACGGGCAAACCAGCAGGTTACGGTGAGATCTGGCCACCAGCACGCCTGAGGTCATCACGCGTCCGCTGGCGTTTCACAGCCAGCCCACCGCGCCTAGCAGGGAGAGGACTGAAACGATGCAAATGCACGGCCTCGGAGGCATTCAGCGGAGGGGGGTGCTTTGGTTAGCTCAGAGGAATGACAGTTTGCACATCAGGTTTGGGGAGGGTGAGAAGAGCTGGAGAGTGTTGGCCAGGGAGCAGATCCAGCAGCTCTCCCGTTTCAGGCAGCCAGCAAGGGATTAGCTTGTTCTCAAACACAGCTTGCTCCATGCTTTTAGCCCTGCTCCCTGCCACTCGCTGCAGCAAATGTGACACTTCACACCACCTCCTCACAAAAACCAGGTCAGGAGTTTCCTCTCACGAGGAACAAGCAATGTTCTGTCACCTTGCA